AAGTCGTTGCGAGTCGATGCAATCGCATTCGCGTCGCGACATATCGCCGGCACGCTGCACGAGCTCTTATTCGTTAATTCTTATTATGTCAGTCATGCGGCGAGTGTTTCTAATTATTTTAAATTAATTTTGTATAATTATCTTATTTTTACGATATTTTCACGGTATTTTTACTGTTCTAATTATTTCCTGGTCCATAATTAAAAACGAACTACAATGAATAGTGCAGTCGTTAGTCCCTAGAACGGGATCGCGCATGATTCTGTTTGCAAAATACGTCCAATATCGTGATATGAGTGCCGGAGACAGTTAGTGGAATAGAAGTACAACCTATGTGATTTTGGAACGTCGTTCTTACGTAAAAACCTTACACTATGGAAACTAAAGGACATGTTACGTTGACATCGTTGACATATATAAATCAGACATGTTATTGTCATTGTTTATGATAGCAATACATTGTCTGTGTCAAACACGGGAATCGAAAATACGTAACGTCATCTTAAATGCCAACCGTGTCCATTTCGAAGTACATGAGATACATGATAAAGTTGTCAAAGGGAAGTACATCAAATGTCAAAACAAATGTTTTTCCAAATGTACTATTGAATTATTCGCATGTATTATAATTGGACAAAAATATTGACAGTGAGCATTGACTATGACAGTGAGAATAATTAGGTATTCATAAAAATGCGACGCTGCAGCATTAAGGGATGTGGCTTTAGAAGAAGTGCAAATCAATCGAATGTTACATTGCACAGGCATTTGTTTTTTGCTTGTCTATAAATCACACAATAGCCCAAATATTTCATGTAATTAGACTTATTTAAGTAGTTTATTTAATAATCTTGCCAAATTTTGCATTTGTTACTTTGGATTGCCTGTTCGTTTGTATATTTTGATGATTGTTGTTAACGATTATTTCGAGATAGTGTTGATCTTGTAAGCATACATATTATCGATATTCTGTTATTAAAACAATTCACTACGAGGTTTTTATTGTTTTATTATTATTATTTTTATTATTTCAAGTTTTCCTACAAATGAAAAAAGGAAGAAAGAATGGTTGGAAATCATAGGACTGCCGAATATAAACGTTGGATCAAAGACCATCTTCATTTGTTCGCTTCATTTTGAAGAGTCAAATTTTAACAGAACTTTGAATGTAACTAGATTACATGACAATGCTATTCCATCATCAGGTTTATTGGTAAATAATTTTATGTTCAATTTAGATTAAACAAGACTCATTTACTAGTAATTCTCAGTTCCTGAAAACAAAATTATCCACTCGTTTCTGATTTTTCCTAATGACAACTCTTTAAAAATGACTATGTTTTTAAAGCAATACAATAACTTGTTAGTCCAACGTTGCCGGGTAAAGGCCAATACCAACGTATAGACAGCCTATTTGCCTTATCTTGCCATCGTTCGGCTTAATAATAATATACCACTCGAGATTAAATTATTAGACTTGTGTTTATTTAGGCGTACTTTGGTGACAGTAAACTAAAGAAACAAAAAAAAACAGTTTCAACATTCAAGCCATACATTTGCATGTCGATAATGACTTATCGATAGATTATGGTACAACACTAAAGAAATCGGCCATTTGTAACTTTGAAATTTTGGTTCTATGCACGTTGATTCTGTAGTTGGGGCAGCTCCTTTCTTTTATTTTTTTCCATCCTCTAAGGTAAACACTTACAAATAAATGGACGACGGGTCTAATACAAAAACCACGAAAAAAATGTCCCAAGTCAACCTATTTAAACGTAGTGACATTTAAAGGTATATGAAAAATCTAAAACGTTGAATTTAAATTGTAATGTCATCGCAGTACTGTCTAATTTTGCTTGCTTCGCTGTCAGAAGAAACAAACGAAGACTAAAGCGTGAATACGATTTTAACGCCCTATAAGTTCTGACACTTTTTAGCGCGGACCCGACGTCCATATAATTAAAGTCAATGGCTGCTTACTGTGATTTTTTCATCGTGACGTTGTTTACCAGCTACTTATTTACCACAGACGTAAATAAAGCACCGAGAGACGTAATAAGTTGGATGTTAAAGTCAAAGTCAAAAACAAAAAATCATTTATTCCCTTACAGGATGGAAAAAAAAATCCTTAAACTATGGTAACCAAAGGACATATTATATTGACATATATAAATCAGACATTAAGATTTAGACGGTGAAAACTTCCTTTATTTTTTTCCATCCTCAAGTTTATTTCATAGTAGGAAAAATTTTTACACTTGAAAACGTCATTTTTTAAGCTACCGCTCGTAGAACGTTGCAAAAAGCTCTAGGGATTGCTCTTTTCAAATAAACTTATAGGCTATAGAATACACTTTTAATCATAATTGTGTGGAATCTAGACTCGTCTTACCATACATATTTATCTAACAAATACTCTTCAATGGTGGATGGATAATCAATTACTTGAAAATTATAAGTAAACATGACATTTAGATCTTATAACTCAAATCCTAGATCGGTTAGAATTACAACGTTGATGCTGTAGATGACCTTGATACATTTAACTTTCTTGGGTTAACAATTGATAATAACCTTAACTGGAACACATTGAGCAGACTTGCATGAAGCTAAATTGATTTGTTTACGCTCTAAGAAGACTAAGGCAAACCTCTCGCGAGAAGCTGCGTTGACAGCCTATCACGGCTACCTTTCGTCCGTGCTCAGCTACGGTCATGTACTATGGGGTAACTCAGTAGTCTTAGAAAGAGCTTTCCAAGTCCAGAAGAAGTGTATTCAAGCGAATTGCAGTGCGTGGTTCGATGACAGTTGCAACCCGCTGTTCAAAAGGCCAAACAACCTTTGCCATACATGTACTTTAGGGATATCTGCGTATTTGTCAACTCTCATCCTCTATATTTTAAAACACGTGGCGAAGTCATTCAAAGGCGAACTAGAGCAAAAATTATGAATCTTTTATACAAACTTCGTTGCCATAAAGTAATTTATAGGAGTAACTGCTTCGACATGTGTATAATTATTTACAATAAAATACCAAACGAAAATAAATTGTTACAAGGACATACTTTTAAATTACAATTGACAAAATGGCCTTTGATGTATTGCTTCTATGGTATAAAGAATTAGAATTTACTAATTCATTAGTGTAATATTTGCACATCTGCTTGCAGGTTGAATACAATCTACCTAATTTTACATAAGACCTATGTAATTACTGTATTCTAGCAAATAAACGTATCCTGTTCTATTCCACCTCTAGCTTCTACCCGTGGGACCAGGACGTCGTCGGTATGCTGGAACACCTGCAAGGTCATACCTACGCCACCTGCTGATGCCGCATACCGGGCAAATGACGCGCAGCACACATCCGTGCAATAGGGAATCGGACAATTTTTCAGAAAGTGTCTAGAATTAACTAAAATAGATATGTACAGCCATGAAAAATAATATTTTATTAAAATAAAGCTTAATAGTCTCTAAAATGTGCTAAAACTACGTCAAAATTTAAATAGAAACAAATTGGCGCGCAAACGTAACAAAATGTCAAATTGAACGCGTGACGTCATTTGTAGGTAAACAAGCTACGAAACCAAGGGCAAGGTGTTATTTTAAAGTTTTTGTGAAGTTTGAAGTCGTTATGGAACGGAAAACATATCGTTGGTGTGTAGTACCTCAATGTAGGGATACTTCTATAACTGCCCCAAATAAACTATTTATTGATGTACCTCGAAAATCCGACATACGAAAAAAATGGTTGGTCCTAGCACGACGAAATGTCTGTAAATTCAGCGATATACAACATTTTGCAAAAATTCATCACTTGCATTCGACCAAGTATCAGACCCGTGCGCATCTTCTGATATTCCTATATTGTTACGTACTTTCCCAGTTGTTACTAACACTAATTTTTAAGTTATTTTGTTTCTAGCACTATGAAATGAAATGAAATGAAATTAGGTTTATTTGCATTGAATAGGTTACAGGATGGTAGTTATTACATTTGAGTTCATCTATTCAGCCAAGTAGTCATTTACATTATATTATCCTTTTTTAACTAGGTATTTATACAGTTCAGTAGGTCAGTGAGTTCAGTTGTCATTCTTTTAAATGTCAGATTTTTTATTTCAATTGGTAGTCTATAAATTTTCATGCACATGTAATATGAACTTTTTAAGGAGAGTGTAGTATTAGATATATTTTCAACAACAAGTCTGTCTGGGTTTCTTTTTGCGCGTGAATTAATTTCTATTGATTTTTTAAATAATTTTAGATGCTGTTTGACAAATTTACAAACTTCATAAATATACATGGAAGGTAAAGTCAAAATATTTAAATTTTCGAAAAGCAGCTTGCTAGATTCCAGTGGGCCGATGCCGCACATTGCGCGTATACATCTTTTTTGAGTTATAAATGCTCGTTCGACATAAGTTCCATTATATATGATTAATCTATAACGCAGAACCAACGCGATGTAGCCGTGGTAAGCGAATAAACAAATTTTTTAGAAGTAATTTCTAATATATTGGTCTTAACCTACGAAGGACGTATACAAATCTATTCATTTTGCTACAGACGCTGTCAACATGGTTGGTAAAACTAAGATTTTTATCTATTAATGTACCCAAAAATTTAACTGTCTCTAGCTTTTATAAAATCTTGCCATCATAATTAATGTTTATATTGATTGGTGTGCGTCCTTTTACAGCGAATTGAACATATTTCGAATTTTTCCAAATTGACGTGTAGATTGTTTACATGCAACCAATCTACCACGGATTTTAGTGTGTCATTAATTTCAGTTTCATAGTGATTGACGTTGTTATTAATTGAATTTATGACTATCGCAATGTCATCTGCAAACATGATACATTTATTAATGGCAGGTCATTAATATAAAGCAAAAATAATAAAGGGCCTAACATACTTCCCTGAGGAACACTAAACCTATTCAAATAATGATGCGAACAGCATGTGTCAACATATTTTTTTTTATCTAGGTAGTTTATCTCCACCCGTTGCTGTCTGTCATGTAGGTATGACCTAGACCAATTCAGTGCTATGCCCCTAATACCATACTTCTCTAACTTTATCAGCTATCATGTGCTACGAAATCGAAAGCTTAAGACATGTCCAGAAACAATACTGTGCTGTGCTTTTTTGTGTCAAGAGCTTTAATCACTACATCGACAATATTGAAAACAGCCTCAGCAGTCGATTTTCCCTTTTGGAAGCCGAATTGTTCTGGTTTTATAATGTTAAATTTTGTGCAATAGTCCATTAATCATTTCGAAAATTTTGGCTAAAATCGGGATAAGAGTAATCGGGCGGTAGTTGTATAGCTCAGATTTATCGCCCTTCTTATAGATCGGTTTCACTATTGATAGCTTTAATAGATCAGGAAACATGCCACATTCAAAAATATGGATTTAGAGTCCGAAATAAATGATGATGATAATGATGATTATTATTATTATATCTATTTTATTATTATTATTATTATTTTACAAACGGCGGCACTTATCATCCAAAGACTTGACCCTCGTAGAGCTCCACATCCCAACCGTATCGGTCTAATGGCCAGCGTCTGAAACACACACGCCTGTGTTACCAAGTGTAATAAAACCACATGCAGAGATGGGCAGAGTCAAAACCCAATCAACCCGGATTTCATCGGGTTTTTATCCAAAATCATGGGCGGAACGGCGAATACGTAATTTCGTAAATTCCATACTTATTACAAATTTCGATGTAACAAAAAAATTTCTTAAGGCGAAAAAGAGTGGTATCTCATTACTATGGCTGCTAACAGATTGACTTCATGTTTACATTTAACGCGTGAAATCGTTATCCGAGACTTCGACTGCATGAAATTGATAAGGACTTCACGCATTAACTGCATGCAATCGATCTCGGTTTCATGAAGTCGGTTTCGACTTCATGCAGTTAATTCGTGAAGTCGTTATCCGAGATCTCGACTGCATGAAATTGATAACGACTTCACGCATTAACTGTAAACATGCGGTCAATCTGTTGGCAGGCTAAGGATGCACATTACAATTCGATTTTTATGAAAATTGATTGAAGTGATTCTGATGATTTTTTTTTAACGATTTTCAAGGGTACCTATTTGAATAGGTACCCTTGAGAAAGGCAAATAGAATCGTGTAGATCAGAAAGTAATGAACATTTGTAATTTTTCTGTGTGCTTGTTGTCGGATCTTTTTATTTGGTTTTTCAACGACTTTTTAGCCGTAGCGCCATTTATGAGAAATCTATAAGCGTATTTCGTCATGGAAGGAATTTTTTCTAAGTATCCGATCTTCGTATTAATAATAATAACAAAGGAGTAGAGTAATTTTACAAAAAAATATTCATCGTACGTTTGACATCGATATTTAACAAGCCTCTTGCCTAAGCCTATAGGAAAGGATTTTCATTTTTCTCTATTCTATAATCTATTTCACCTACTAACTCCGTAAAAGCTGTTGGATAACGATATCGTATCCGAATCGAATGTTCTGAATAGCTCGGAAAGCGCGTTTCGATTCGAGAACGATGTCCAGTAGAACGATTCTATTAAAATATCGAAGAGTTCGGAATCGGGGTTCATGTTCGTCAGTGTCACTTACCCTCGCTTCGGTGTGGTTCTAGTTGGTATACTCCAGTTAAAAAGCCAACTGTCATTGTTTCTATTCCTCTCCCGCTCTTCTTCACGTTTCTTCTCTTCATCTTTCTACTCGTATAAAAAGAACACATCATAATCAATTATTTCATACTATAGTCTGTCTTTTTTACAAATAGGAGTCATATTTCAAAGCTTTTAATTTTAATTCAATATAGATAATCAAATCCGGCCATCGTTGTGTCGTTGTTGATCTCGATACTAGTAAATCAACTTTCAAAATAAGAATAAAGAAGGCAATAACGCAATTAGCAATCATTAGAACGTCGTAACTATTCAGTGATTTTGGTAGGTGGAAGTAGAGCTGCTAGAAGCGAACCCGCAACACTCACGTGTCCGCTTCCTTAATGGGAGAGAAGCGATAGTGGCAAACCGCCATTTAGCCCCCGGTGGAAACAGACTCCCGGAAATAGATGACGAAGATGAGGAGGAGTGGGAAGAAGCTCAGGAACAACCTAGTGCCAATGAAAGCCCGACAAAAACGTCCCGGAGAGCGATCAGCTGCGACGCTCCGCTAGGTAGTGCCATCCCCCCGCTCACCTGAATGACTACATCTGCAGAACGTCGCCGGAGAGAATGTGAGAAATGCCATACAGTGTATTTATAAGAAATACACATCATACGTTAATGTCACTAAAACTGTGTCTAGTTTTTAACTATGTAAAGCCTAATATTTCGATTTCGAGTTACAAATAACTCTCATTCATTTTATATTGGTCCGCGGATTATTTTCGAAATGATCTTCTCTTCTATGTCAGGATCACGAACGCTTGGGCGACCTTCTGGCCTATCACCCTGGAATGTGCCAGTAGTTTGAAGCCTCAAAACCATATTCCGAAAGCAGGCTCTCGAAGGAAGTTGACAGCGTTCAGCTTCTGGTCTACCATCGATTAAATCTCTCACGGGCTTGGTCTAAATTTTCGTCTGCTGCTCCGGCGCACAGCATCATTTCATAATATTCTGAATTACTTACAAATGCCATTACAATTTTATTATTTTAGATTAAGAACAACACGGAATAACGATGACAGAATGACCGACAGCGTCAATATCCATTTTATTTTTATTAATCAAAAACAAAACTGTAGGTATTGAATGTTATTGAATAAAAATGTTTCTAATTCTAAAATACTCTACCATTTTTAAATAAAAACAAATTGAACATTAAATTTTCCCGCCATTTTCGACTAACTTCAAAATAAGTGGTTGGGTGAAGTTAGTGATGTTAGAGCACGACTTTAATACCAATACCGACGAATTTTCGTATTTTTAAAAAAATTAAATTAATTTACTTAGTCATAATTTTCTACAAAAATCAATGCCAATTTACTATTTGATAGTAACTCTCTACGACTTTGAATTTCCACTGCACCTTTCGGTTACAACCTGTATATAAATTAATGGAAAAGGTGAATAGAACATTTTTAATACATGAGAGTAATTAGAAATACGTAAATAATAATCTAATATAACGTAAAAACTGAAACTACAAAAACCCGACACGTTCCATTAAACCACAGAAGAATAAATACATTAGAAGTGTTTAGTTAGCGTCCGAAGCGTGCCAACAGTAGGTCTCGTTAGTCCTACTAGAGCTCAGTCCACCACTTTCGCTTTGTATGGTATGGTTGAGTCATTCTTTCGCGTAAATTCTCTAAAATCGCAGAAAAAAATGATGGCCGCATCAAAAATGTTACCGGTAATATTTCATATCATCGGCAAGTTTTATTTTAATAAATTTTCAATTTTCCGTTTATCGTATTGATTCAGATGTTAATTGTTCGTCGTAATCCAGCACTGGTCGCAAGATGGCACACGTTGAATAAAATTTCAATATAAAATCAAAACGTCATAACTTGGAAAAGGTTTCTTCCTTTCTAACTTTCAACGATATAGCGACTGGGTAAAGTTTAAATTATATTAACATTCCAGAATTTGTCGAGTTCTTAGGTTTTCGCGATTGTTACACCTATGTGTAACTATCTATACTACTCGTATGTGTAAATGTGTGTGTGTTTCCTATGAAATGAAACAATTTTTCCGGATTTAATCAATCGATCGATCGATTGATTGATTGATTTAAATCGATCGATTGATCGATTGATCGATTGATCGATTGATCGATTGATCAATTGATCGGATGATCGGTCGACGGGTCGATCGTTCGAGCGGTCTATCGGTCTATCGGTCTAACGGTCTATCGGTCTATCGGTCTATCGGTCTATCGGTCTATCGGTCTATCGGTCGATCAATAGATCAAATGATCAATCAATCAATCGATCAATCGGTCAATCGATCAGCCGATTAATCGATCAATCGATCAATAGATCAATCGATCAATCCAACAATCGATCAATCCATCAATCGGTCAATCGATCTTTCGATCAATCCAACAATCGATATCAATCGATCGATCGTTCAATCGATCAGTCGATCAGTGGATCGGCCGATAGGTCGATCAGTCGATCGGTCGATCGGTCGATCAATGGATCAAATATGTCAAATGATCAAATCAATCGATCAATCGATCAATCGATCAGCCGATCAATCGATTAATCGATCGGTCTATCGGTCCATCGATCAATCGATCAATTAATCGATCGATCGGTCAACCAATAGGTCAATCGATCGGTCAATCGATCACTCGGGCAATCGATCGGGCAATCGATCGGGCAATTGATCTGGCATTCGATCGGGCAATCGATCGGGCAATCGATCGGGCAATCGGTCGGGCAATCGGTCGGGCAATCGGTCGGGTATTCGTTCGGGCAATCGGTCGGGCAATCGGTCGTGCAATCGGTCGTGCAATCGATCGCGCAATCCATCGGGCAATCGATCGTGCAATCGATCGGGCAATCGGTCGGCCAATCGATCAAGCAATAGATCGGGCAATCGATCGGGCAATCGATCGGGCAATCGATCGGGCAATCGATCGGGCAATCCGTCAGGCATTCGATCACTCGAGCAATCGATCTAGCAATCGATCGGGCAATCGAACGGGCAATAGATCAAGCAATCGATCGGGCAATCGGCCGAGCTATCGGTCGGTTAATCGGTCGGGCCAACGGTCGGGCAATCGATCGGGCAATAGCTCGGACAATCGGTCGGGCAACTGGTCGGGCAATCGATCGGGCAAATGGTCGGGCAATGGTTTGGACGATCGATCGGGCAATCGGTCGGGCAATCGGTCGGGCAATCGGTCGGGCAATCGATCGGGCAACCGATCTGGCAATCGGTCGTGCAATGGGTCGGGCAATCGGTCGGGCAATCGATCGGGCAATCGGTCAAGCAATTGATCACTCGGGCAATCGATCAAGCAATCGATCAGGCAATCGATCGGGCAATCGAACGGGCAACCGAACGGGCAATCGAACGGGCAATCGAACGGGCAATCGATCTGGCAATCGATCGGGCAATCGATCTGGCTATCGGTCGGTTAATCGTTCGCGCCATCGATCGGGAAATCGATCGGGCATTCGGTCGGGCAATCGGTCTGGCAATCGGTCTGGCAATCAGTCTGGCAATCGGTCGGGCAATCAGTCGAGCAATCGGTCGGGCAATCGGTCGGGCAGTCGGTCGGGCAACCGGTCGGCAATCGGTCGGGCAATCGATTGGGCAATCGGTCGGGCAATCGGTCGGGCAATCGATCGGGCAATCGATCGGGCAATCGAT